TTAGATTAATTGTGTGAAGCGACCGGCGCACAGTGGTCCACAAGCGGTAAAACGTGAACAAAAATCAAATTTTCGAAAGTTTTTTTTTCGTTTTTTTTTACATGTTACATGTACTTTAGGTCCTAATAGACTGGGAGGTGAAAGAAATAAAGTCTTATGTACTTTCTAGTGCCAACTGTACGCAATAAAACAGTACTACAATTCTTGTGTATTAAATATCATAAAATGCTACAACTTTAGATGACGAAAATATACCGTATTTTCTCGAATCTAATCCGCACCCTTTTTACAAATTTTGTATGCTCTAAAATCAAATGCGGATTACAATCGGATGTGGATTACATTGGCAAACCAACTTTTTTTACCATCATTGCATTTTTAAAATCGAGCTGCGGATTAGATTCGCGTGCGGATAAGATTCGAGAAAATACGGTATTGTGTTTCACTTTTTCAAGACAATGCGTTGTTGCTATCTTGAACAGTATAGAAAGGTCTTCATTTGGCACTTTTCTAATTTTTAAAATATTTTTGCAGAAATACGTAATAAGCACTTCTTTTAAAGCTAATTAACACCTACTTGAAGACATCTTGCTTTAACTTGCTCCTTACCAAGATATTAGCGGTCAAAGATGATCAGTTCCTGAGTGTGCTATTTGACTGTTTTCATATAAAATGCTTATATTCTCTTTCTTAAAAGATAAATCTCGTATATGTGGTGTAAACTCGCATAATAGTAGATTATCAGACTTAAAGTTTCAGGCATATCTAACAACCGGAAGTGATTGTTAGATACAGTGCGAAAAAAAAACTGGTACACTTGAAATGTCTAGTTTTTTTTAAACAATTCCTTCCGGATAGAAACGCTTGAAGGGCTCAAAAAGCATTTTAAGTTTGCATGTAATAAGAAACAGAGGTCAAATATTTACTTTTAAATTACCGCGCAGTCAGAATGTGTTGGGTCGTCTTTTATGTATCATTGTACATATGCGTATCCCTTTTATGTTTATTTTTCTTCGAAATTATATGATATTTACATTAACATAACCTCTAGAGTGCCATGGGAAATATTGTAGGTTGATAACCTAAAATTTTAAAATCAAATTTTTTGAGGTATTTTGCCAGGTTTCGACTTTAGAATTAACAAGTAAATGTCGGAGTTTTAGGGCTTTACCTGTTACCTTAAAGTAGGGTTGCCATCCGTCCCGGTACACCGGGACATGTCACCTGTTTGAAACTTCTGTCCCGGTCGTCCCGGTTGAACTACAAAATGTCCCGGTAGATGGCGATGTTAGGTCTGTTCCAACACACGAAGAAAACCGTTCCAGAATCGTTTATTATAATAGACCAACTATTCTATGAACAGCACTGCGTATATGAATTACATCTCAGAATACCCTGCTTTGTTATAAAAACCGTTCTGGGACGGTTTTCTTGGTGTGTTGGAACAAACCTGTTTTAATAGATTTAATGACAGCGAGTGAACATGCGTGCGAGCACTTTGCTGGCTGCGCCCATTTCTACAATTATTCCCGAGCGTTCATTGACGCACATTCAGTAATATTTAATCGAGCAACCGTGACGTTATTGTTTATAGTATTGTGCAGCGATTAGGATATTGTCTCAACGACGTCTGATACCAAAGGACTAGGTGTAAGTTTATAATTATAATGCCAAAACGCAAGTGCCATTTCTCGGATAATTACACGAAAGAGTGGACGTTTATAAAGAAAGGTAGAAGTGAATTCGAAGCGCACTGCACAGTATGTAATTTATTTATTTCCGTGAGCCATAGTGGTAAGACTTCGATAGAAGATCACATCAAATCTAATGGGCATAAGTCTAACTTGTCGGCAGCTTCTACTTCACGAGATATTTCATCATTCATGATTAAAGAAAACACTCCAGAAGATACTTTAGTGTGTGCAGCAGAATTAACAACAGCTTACAAAGTTATTAACCATCATTATTCTTTTAATTCATTAGACTGCAACACTAAATTGAACGCGATCTTATATCCTGATTCTAAAATTGCTGCGAAACAGTCAACTGCACGAACAAAAGCTACAGCAATAATAAGAAACATATTGGCACCACACTCTGTACAAAAAGTAAAAGAAGAAATTGAAACAATTCCTTTTTATGGAATTTTAACCGACGCTAGTAATCATAACGCTGAAAAGTTGTTTCCTCTTCTTATACAATATTTCTCAGAAACCAATGGTATGCAGCTGAAATTAATTAAATTAGATACTTTAGAAAATGAAACTTCAGATACAGTAGTCACCTTCTGCATAAACACACTTAATAATTTAAATATCTCATTAGAAAAGCTAGTGGCGTACAGCGCTGATAACACAAATGCAAATTTTGGGGGACGAGAGAGGCACGGGGTGAACAACGTATACTTTAAACTGAAATCAAATCTCTCTAAAGACATCGAAGGCATAGGTTGTCCAGCTCACATAATACATAACACAGCATCCACATCTGCTGACGTACTGTGTATTGATGTGGAATCAATAGTACTGAAAATTTATAAGTATTTTTCTATATTTACAGTACGCAATGAACGTCTCAAATCGTTTTGTGAAGCAGCTGATGTAACTCATGCTAATTTACAATGTCACTCAAGAACTAGGTGGTTGTCATTGTTACCGGCAATTGAGCGTATTTTGAAACTGTGGGAACCATTAAGAAACTTTTTTTTGGCAGAAACCAGACCGCCAAAAGCAATAGTCGATTTCTTTAATCACCCATTGTCACAAGTTTATTTTCTGTTTTTACACAGCCAATCATTTTTATTTGAAAAACAAATTAAAAGAATAGAAAAGTCAAATATAACAGTTATTGAAGTTAAGGAACTCATAAACTGTCTCGAAAACACACTTTCAGAGCGAGCTTCAGCTAAATTTTTAGGAATCCAAACAAAAATTGAATATGACAAGATAAAAAATATTCCTCAGCATTCAGATTTAATAAAATTGTGTGACGAAGAAATTGATAATTATTACAAAACGGCTTTGGAATATTTACAGCGGTGGAGTCGTCCACTCACAAAGTATGAAGTATTTTCATGGATGATTCTTGCTGCTCCACCGCAGTGGCATGATGTTGAAAAAACGGCAAACTATTTACAAGAAAAGGGAGTAATTATTGGCGATAACATATTTGAAGAAACGTTATACTTGAAAGATTTTATACAAAAACGTAAAGGTAATGAAGATTGGCAAACAAAAGACATGCATGAAAAATGGTTAATTTTCTTCCAAGAAACAGATGTGTTAGAAAGGAAAAAGACATTATTATTAATGTGCCAATACCTTTACGCCATCCCTGGACATAACGCCAATGTCGAAAGGATATTTTGTTTAATAACTACACAGTGGACGAAAGAACGTAATCGGCTGCAAATAGAAACTGTCGAAAGTATAATTCAATGTAAATACAACTTTAAAATGAGCTGCTCAGAATTTCATAAGTATGTAATGAGTAAGCCGGACCTGTTAAAGCAAGTAAAAAAGTCTGAAAAATATAAAAATAATTAATATTTGTTGCATAACTATTTAGTTTTGGATCGTTTAAATAGTCATTTAAATCAAAACTTACGTTGTACGTAATTACACGTAATTGTAAGCCGATTTATTAGTCATTTAAATAATAAAAAAAAATGAAATTGCCGAGTTTTTTTTCTAGTTGTCCCGGTCAAATGTCCCGGTCAGTACTTACACTATTATGGCAAGCCTACCTTAAAGTGACCTTAAAAAGAATTTATATCATGGCACACTAGATATTTTGATTGTATGTATGGTACGTATTTTTTGTTTGTATCATAAACGCTATGGTAACGCTTGTCGAATTGTCGGTAGCCATGGTAACTACATTACCAACATATCTTAATTCTTAAAGTATAAACGGTGTGGTAAACGTTTAGTTAATCGTGATTACGTTTGAATTATTGGTTCGTAGCTTTAGATATTTATTAGTTAGTGTGTTAGTGTTATATTTTGTTGATTATTGTTTACTTTTATTGGTAATTGTTAAGTTAGTTATTAATAATTATAGATATAGGGCTAGTTTTTGTTATTTAATTTGTCGTTAGGAGCAGTTCGTTTACAACTCGTTTACAAATTGTTTGTCGTTAACAATTTTAATTAATCCTTATAAAACGTCGCTAACACATGAAGTATTGCACGAAAAGATAAAATGTTGCGAAAATCAGTCTATAGAAAAGAAGAAAGAATTTGTTTTAAAATAGCACATATTTTCGATATTGGAATAGTTGTTGTCGCGATGAAATTAAATTTCGTGCTAAATATGGTTGGTGGTTAAAAAAGGAGATCATTTTTCCTTCAATCTTTGAAAACCCATCCCAATTATCTATTGAATATTTAGATAAAGGATAATAATTATTACCATCTTATGATGCAAACTTTACACAAATTCTGATACAAACAGGCTTGCGTGGTCGTCCCAAAAAAGAATTTCAATCCTTGTCGTTAGCCGCGAAAAGAAGGAAAACTGAATCTATTCGTAAAACCGCAACGTCTACGGTATTATCGTTTGCCACGGTAATGAAGCTGAGAGAAGAAGGGAAGTCAGCTGAAGCTGCTTTACTTAAAGAAGCGACAACAACAACACCCAATAGAGCAAAAAATATGTTAACAACATGGAAGTCGGTACAACCTCAGCAAACACGACTAACAGCTGAGGAAGCTCTTGGGTTAATTATTTCGCTAAATCTATCAAAAAATCAATATATACGAATTCGAGAGACAGCTATTTGCCACGGACACGACTTATATCCAACATATAACGATATTTTAAAATGAAAAAAAAAGGCATGCCCTAACGAAATAACGATTACGGAAAATTCTTACGAAATTAGTTTACAAAACTTATTAAACGATACTTCCAAAAAAATTTTAAAATCTTTGGATAATTATCCAATGGGTCCATGAAAATGCTGCTCTTATAAGATCCGAAGAGAAATATATTTCAAGTCAAATAAACTCCCTTCAGCCATATACCGCAAAATGTGGAATTGTTAACTTTTCTCTTTATTTCACGATGGTGGATGGCAAGGTATAAAGTCTTCGTTTTCTTAAAACTTTATTTGAATTATTCATACATGTTGTAGGTCTGTAATTCTTTGATGGAATCGTCTGGAATGGAATGTTATCTATGTAGAGCAAAAATTTCACAGATGAACAATATTACTGCGTTACGTATGAGAACGTTAGAGCCAGAAGGTTTTAAGTTTGGTTTGTCTGTTCTCCATGCATACATTCGATTTTTTGACTGTCTGCTTCACATTTCTTATAGATTAGAAATTAGAACTTGGAAGGTGACTGGTTCATACGTACTTTCTATGTAAAACGTATCTATAAATCAATTTTTAGATTCCCAAAGCACAGCAAAATAGGGTACAACAACGAAAACACGTTATTCAACAGAAATTTCGCCAAACTTACGGACTTCTTGTTGACGTTCCAAAACAAAATTACGGAACATCGAATGATGGTAACACAGCGCGACGATTTTTTGCAAACCCTAAATTATCATCAGAGATTACTGGTATGACAATTTAATAATAAGCGCACATGCACTAATCACTTTATACTTCATTTAAGGAATTTACGAGGAACTAATACAGCGATTTGGCGTTATTTTGGCCGCAATAAACAGTGGATACAATATTAATTGTAATGAATTTGATACATACTGTTTCGAAACTGCCGAAAAGTACGTCGATCTTTATGGTTGGTACTATATGCCAACCAGCGTTCATAAAATTTTGATACATGAAGCTGCAGTTATTAAAGAAGCCTATAAGTCTACTACCTATTGGAGAGTTGTCCGAAGAAGCGCAAGAAGCTAATAACAAAAAGATCCGAAAATTTAGAGAGAGCCACACAAGGAAATGTAGTAGACTTGATACGAATGAAGACCTATTTAAACGACTACTACTCAGCTCAGATCCATTTATAAGTAATTTTCAAAAGCACATTTCCAGAAAACATAAAAAGATGAGTATGGAAACTAAAAAATTACTTATAATAGACAATGTAGAAGACCAGGAAGAAGAAAAAGATCGCGAAGAGGAAGATGAGTATGAGGAAGAACAAGAATCAGAACAAGAGCAATATAACGCAGGATGTAACGAAGATGAAGATGACGAAGAATGGTCTGAAACAGAACAAAAAGGAACAGACATTGTTAAGCAACGTAGATAATTTATAGAGAATTCCATTTCTGACAGGCTAAAAAAGTATGGGGCGTTCCAATTAAAATTTTCTACTTTCTCGCCATTGAAGATGCTCAACAGTAATTCAATTTTTGACCACCCTGTATAAGATACTCCGATACAACAAATGATAATTTATTTGACTGCATCTGAAGTGTAATCGTGCCAATTTAGACCTTTTTTGAATGCACGTTGGCTGAGATATGGGGTTTTAAAGAGCATGGTGAAATTTACCAAAAAAAGCTTAAAACCAAAATAACTCGAAAACGAAAAACGCTAGATACCAATAACTTTTATCAAAGTTAACCTATATTTTACGTACAATGAAGTGGTGTAATAAAAACTATGGCATTCCATTTAAAATAACGAAGTTATGGTCTACTTCCGGTAGACCGGAAGTGGCAGCCATCTTGAAAATATTTTAGATGGAACGTTCCGAATGAGCAACCCATGCTACCAAAATTTCAAAATTGTACGAATAGTGGAACCTGAAAGGTGTTCTAGCGAACCAGTTACGTGAGACACCCTGCAGTTAAAGATTTATTTACTGGTGTGAAGTTATCCATAAATCCCAGCAATAAACTTAAAACATTAATAATTCCGTAACTAATACGATTTGGGTAACCAAATTTCACACAGAGGTCACTCTTACCCTCAAGAACAGCTTACCACCCCCATTTGGTAAAAAAAATTTGTTTCAACCCCCACCCCC